ACCACATTTGGTTTTGCACCCATTTTGTCTTCAGTGATCATGTAGGGAAGATGAGCATCACAGAATGCCAGGCTATTTGAAAAAACGTGAGGGAGAACTTGAGGAGAGGCCCAATGTCTGTCTGTTACCTAAATATTTAACACAGAAATATATGTACATAGACCTACAACTTTATTGTTATATATTAATATATTTACATATGTATATGCTTATGTTTACACCTCTAGAAATGACTTTTGCCTCCTAGTTATTTCCCCTATTTCCTTTTACTTTCCTCCTGTCCCACTATCCTGTTCGACTTTCATTCTTCTGTTTGTACTTCCTCTTGGCTACATTGCACTTGATCGAGTCCCACCACGCATTCTAGGAATGAATCAATGAAATTGATTGTGGTGATAATTGCACAAATTTTCTTAATACAATAGATGACTAAGTTGTATGAAGCATAAGCCAATAAAATTATTAACAACAAAAAAAAAACCCACTCATCATTGTTCTCCACTGCTTACAGACAGCAAGGTGTATCAGGCCCTTTATTAATCAATCTATCTCTCTAGGTTTATCTTTTCCTGTTTTTCCTTTGTTTACCCTCGAGCAAGCAAAAGACCACGACATGTCCATGGCTACCAGGAACTAAAGAAGACATGGAAGGGAACTCCCCTAGACAACAGAGAGAACAAACATACTCCTGCCAAGGCCTGGATTCGAACTTTAAGACTCATTTGTGAGAAAGCAGATTTCTGTTCTTTTAAGTCATCAGGCTTGTGATATTTGACTACAGCTGCCCTAGGAAACTATGATGAGAGTAGCCAATGTACACCTTTGTCAGATAATCAATCTGAAATTGGGAAAGTTGAAATATCTGTTATCTCTATACACTTGCTTTAGCACCTTCAGATACTCAAAGGTCTTAAATCAGAAAAAAAATTCAAAAGGTATTTGTACAGCTCAAAACACCACAAAAATGCTAGTATTATTAGAACCCTTCTGTGGGAAGTTATAGAGATTTTTAACTGGTCGCTATTATTGTTCATATGACTTTGATTGGTATATATACCCATCGATATAGTTCCTATCTCTCCCCCAGCAAGACAGAAATTGGATTTGTGTCTTTATTTCTCACACAGATAGTTTATGGCCAACAGACTTACAATCGTGCTTCTGATAAAAATGGTAATATTGACAAGGAGCCAGCCAGTGGAAATAATTCTGCCAGAAGTTATGACCATCCCTTCTCCACCCCCAGCTCGTTGCCCTGTCCCATGCCTGCAGCATGCCTCCACTCTGCCCCCAGCCCCACCCCCACCAGCCTAGCTATACTTTTAAAATAAAAAAGGACCATAAGTTATTTTTTGTTACAAAATGAAGTAATAATTCTGAGTACCAAGAGAAAGACATCGTCATGCTTGATACAGCAGAGGGTGAGCGATCATAAAGGAAGGAGGCTCTGAACGAGGTAGACTGACACAATGATTGCAACAAGGGGTTCAGAGGATGGGCCAGGGCTGGGAAGGGTTTTGTTCTGTGGTACACAGGTTGCCATGACTTGGAAGCAACTGTAACAACATCATGTACCAGACACAGACTGGCATAGAGACCGCCTACCATCAAAGTTAGTCCTTACGAAATCCTATGTTAGTATCGTCTTTATTTTACAGGTAGAAGAACTGGCTCTTAGAAAGATTTGCACAAGAATATACACCTAACAAGTAGCAGAGTTGGTATTTGTGCTCAGCACGTGATCCCACAGTCTCAACTACAGTCTTATCTTACTAGCGTTTTGCATGTCAGAGTCCAAAGAAGAAACTTAAAAAATGATTAGGATTTTCTATGTCATGAAATTTTGCATGCGCTTACAACAAATAATAAAAGGGAAAAAATGAAAATTTAATGTGGTTGAACAACTTTCCAGATAAATCAATAAAATGTAGGGATTTATAGCTCATGCTGTGGAGTGAAGACCATCTTGATTCTAATCCAGTCTCACATGAACAGTGTTTTCCTGGTTATTTTACTTATTCCCTTAGAACTTCATTTTCTGTATCTATGAAATACTTAATGAAATACATATGTAAAACTCATTATAAAGATTTCATAAATATATTTACCAGTAAATGATAGTGGTAAGTAAACAAACATTACTTACAGAAGCCAGTAATCTTCCGTCTTCCTTCATAGCCAGATAACGGTTGGCACAGACTCCTTTGATGGACACAACACCTCTCTCTTCTGCTTGAAGCTGTAGTTTTACTAAAAGGAAAGAAGGAAAAGTTACCTTTGGAGCACCATAGAGCAAAGGGCCATGGTTGCAATATAAAGACAAAAGCCATCTCATCAAACGATGAATGCATTCTAGGGGACTGGAGTGGAGGGCCAGAGGTCAACTAAACTGATATTTTAATGGCTATGATTGGTGACAGAGTCAACAGGGACTAGAGGCTAATAACTCCCTTCTCATGTCAGCGTGAGCAAAAGAGGAGGGAAAGAAATGCAGGATCCCCCACCTTGACTGATAACACAAGAGTCAACAAGGGACTAGCGGCTAATAACTCGCTTCTCATGTCAGAGTGAGCAAAGAGGAGGAAAGAAATGGAGGGTCCACCCCCACACCCTTGACTGACAACCAAGAACCTCCTCTTGGTCCTGCTCAACAGACAAACCAAACAAGTGACTGAAATTTAAAACTATATAAAATCCCAACCTATGTTGAATTTCCGTATTTTTGCCGACATTACAACATCTTTACAAGTCATTTTTAGCCAGGTCTTAACGAGTAGAAGATCTTCAATTTTATGTATTAGCTCTTGGGTTCTTTTTCTTGAGTTACTCTACATCTTATTTCTGGCTTCCCCTTTACTACAATACCAATCAACTTCTTCCTTCCTCCTTCCTTTTCGCTCTGTCTTTCTCTCGTTTCGTTCTTCCTAGGGGAAATGTTTATATGCTGTAGCTTTTCTCTGTCTCCCCTGCAACTTGATTTCCAAGTAGTTTTAAAAATAAGGCAAAAAAGCAACAATTATAAAGACCCTGGAATTCTAATTAACTTGGTTAGTTATGACAATATCATTGTCAGTATGTTTAAATTAAGTTTTCGTTTCTTTTCAGGCAGAGCTGCATATGAGATGTGATATCTAGGATTAACTCTAAAATACTCCAGATAAATATATACATATAGATATAAATTTAAATTATTTTTATAAAGTGGAAGGGATACCAAAACAAGACTGAATCACTGTTAGAAGCACGGGAATTTATTTTCCTCTTCTTACTACTTTTTCTGTATGTCTGAGAAAATTTTATTTAAAAATAATTGATCTTGGAATTTTGTTACACATTAAATCTCCGATAGACTTCTGCATACTAGTCATCACTGTACCCCAGAAAGCATAGCACCAGATAACCCTGAAGTTAACGAGTGAAGTTATTCTAAGAAATAAAAAAAATAAATAATACAAAGCAAAAGGAATGTAATCAAGACATGTCCTAAACATGGATATAAAAATCTTTCTCAGATCATACTAAAAAATGACTGTGTTTACAGGGAATACAGGACAGATGACCCCTTCAGCACCAGTGTTGAGAGTGGCAATACCTAGGAGGTGAAGGAAGGGTGGAGTAAAAAGGGGGAACCCATTATAAGGATCTACTTATAACCTCCTCCCTGGGGGATGGACAGCAGAAAAGTGGGTGAAGGGAGATGTCGGACAGGATAAGATATGACAAAATAATAATTATTTTTGAATTATGAAGGGTTCGTGAGGGAGGGGGCAGTGGGGAGGGAGAGGGAAAAATGAGGAGCTGCTATTAAGGGCTCAAGGAGAAAGCAAATGTTTTGAGAATGATGATGGCAACAAATGTACACATGTGCCTGACACAATGGATGTATGTATGGATTGTGGTAAAAATTGTAGGAGCCCCCAATAAAATGGTTTTAAAAAAATGACTGTGTTTAAAAATAAATAAATAAAATAACTGTGATTTACCAATTATATCCCCCCCCCATTTTTATTGGGAGCTGTTACAGATATTAATAATCTATAGTTCAATTAGATCAAGCACGATTGTACAATTGTTGCCACCATGATTTTCAAAACATTTTCTTTCTTCTTGCACTCTTTGATATCAGCTCCCCTTTATCCCCACCCTCCCCTACCTTACCCCCTAAGAACCCTGGTTAGTATATTAAATATTATTATTATTGTTGTTATCATTACCCTCCCTCCCCCATATCTTACCAACTGTTCACCTGCCATTACGTTATTCGTTCCCCCAAGTGGGGTTATATACTCATCACCGCTATCAGTTTCCCCTCCTCCTCCTCCCCCACCCCTTTCTGTATCCTCAGGGAATCATTACTCTCATTACTATTTCTGAAAGGTCATCTATCCTGGCATTCCAACACTGAATGATCTTAATTATACAAACGAATAAATTCATGTCTAACAGGATTAATGGGGTAAAACTAAGACCATAATAATAGGGGGAGGAAATATTAAAGAACTAGAAGATAGTTATGTGTTTCGACAGTTCTATACAGCACCCTGGATATATCATCCCTTCTGTATGGCCTTTCTGTGAGGGACTGTCCAATTATCTTACAGGTGGGTTTTGGGTCTCTACTTGACCTATGCTCCTTCATGTCAATTTGGTTGCTTGGCTTTGAACTTCTGATACCTTTCCCATGGACATCTCCTATCTTAACCTAGTAGTTCTAAGGTGATCGACATAAGTGATATTATGAATGCATTTGGATTTCTTTTTAACTCATAAAGTTGGACTCATGAGGCAAGACTGCATGTTCATCAATTATATTTCTTTTATGTTTCATATAAATAGATTGTTCCCCACCTCTAGCTCTGTTGTTGTTAGGATCATCAAGTTTTTACCTACTCATAGAGACGCTAGGTACAACAAAACAAAGCATTCGCCTATCCTGGGTCATCCTCCCAATCCAGTATTGCTATACCTGAGCCAATTGTTGCAATAATTGTATCAATCCATCTTGTTAAAAACCTTCTTCTTTTTCACTGACTTTCTACTTCACCAAGTTTGCTGCTCTTTCCAGATACAGGTCTCTCCTGGCAACATGTCTGTTGTCATTAAATGAAGTCTATCTTTCCTTCGAAGCAGTGCCCTGGGTCTACTTCCAAAATAGATCTCTGTTCTTCTGGCAATCCATGGCGTACTCAATATTCTTTACCAATACCACATTCAATTCAGCTTTCATATGTATATGAGGCAACTGAAAATACTATGGCTTGTGTCAGCTATACCTTAGTTCTCAAAATTATATCTTTGCTTCTTAACACTATAAAAAGATCTGTAGTAACAGAGCTACCCCATACAATAAATATGTAATTTAATTTCTTGGTTGCTGCTTCCATAGTCATTAACTGTAGATCCAAGTAAAATAAAATCCTTGAAAATTTCAGTATTTTCTCTGTTTATCATGACGCTGCTCCACAGTTAATACTCACAGAAGCAGAAGTCAAGAGATCAAGTGATGCACCATATTGGGTAAATCTGCTGCACAAGACCTCTTTAAAATGTTGAAAAGCAATCATGTTGCTTGGAGAACTAAGGTGTACATAACCCAAGCCATGGTATTCTCAATTATGTGAGTTGGGTGATGAATAAGGAACAAAGAAGAAGAATCAATGTGTTGGAATTATGTTGCTGGCAAAAAATGTTGAAAATATTATGGTCTGTCAAAAAAAAAACACCAAAAAAATCTGGAATAAGTGGAGCCAGAGTGCTCCTTAGAGGCAAGGATGGCAAGACTTCTCATGTACCATATACACTCGAGTATAAGCCAACCCGAATATCAGTGGAGGGACCTAGTTTTACCACAAAAACTGCATAAATAATGTGCTGAAACTCAGCTTATACACAAGTGAGATAGTTAAGGTTTATTGTCCTACCTGGCCAATAAACACATATGGGGTTAATTGAAGAGCAGAGAGATAAATGGCTTGGTAAGCCTTACCCTTCTAGTTCTTGGGTCTCTTGCTTTCTGATGGTCGGATCAGAGAACAGCTGCCTTAGCCAGTTCCCTGCTTCAGCTGGAAAGGCTCACTTCCTGCGAGATATCCCTAAGGAGAAGCCGCATGGACCTACCCTGATGCAGCCCTGGGTACTGGAGCAGCTGTGTGGAGACCCCTGCCAGTGCTGAGATGCTTACACGCTCACTGATTCGGCTTTCCTCCTGCAGTCAGTGTCATGGCGTGTGTTTTGTGAGATTGAGGAGGACTTTGTAGATCGATGTTGGATATATGGGCTAATGTTGGACTTGTGAGCTAGGGCAGCACTGGGTTGGGATGCTTTCTTAATGTACATTTACCCTTTATATAAAACTCTTTCTTATACATATGAGTTTGAGTGGATTTGTTTCCCTAGTTTACCCAGATATACTCGAGTTTAAGCTGACCCAAATATCAGCTGAGGCACCTAATGTTACCACAAAAATTGCGTTAAAAATGTGCTGAAAAACTCGGCTTATACATGAGTATATATGGTATTTGGGGTATGTTATCAGGAACAACCAGTCCCTGGAAAATGATATTGTGCTTGGCAAAACAGAGAGGCAGGAGAAGAGAGGAAGACCCTTGGCAAGATGAATTGACACAGCAATCCAACATTGAGACAAGGGTGCAACAATCCACAGGCCCTCCACAGGAACGAGAGGAGACTGGAAAATCAAGTGAAGACCAGAGGAGAAGAGTATCTACATTTTGGGGGAGAGACTTATGTTTCCCTTAGTGCGTATGGTGGGTAAATGGGGAGGAGCAACCTCACATAGGGAAGGAATTCTAAACCATAATTGTAGGGAACCTAAGAGGAGAGTAGATTCTTTGAACACCTTTCTACCCAACCCTTGGTGAGCCACAGCATGGACTAAGCATTATGATGACCTTAGATGCTGGCTTTATAATGAACATGGCATCCCCCACAGGCCACACCTGAAGGACTGGACGTGGAAGCCCTCCTGAATGACCTGGGTCCTGCCTCAAAACGACCTGTAGCCCTTGGGTTTAGAACTGAAATTCCCTAAGAAGAGAGGAAGCCAAGGATGACCACCTCAAGGATGTCGGAATGCGGTCATTGGAACCTGGGGGGGACCCCTGGCTTTGTGGGCATTCAATGCAAGCAGATCAGAACCACCACATACTTAGTGTCTCAATGCTCCCTTGCATTCAGACATGTGACTTTTAGATCAAGAAAACTACAAAAAGAAGGAAACCAAAGTTGAC